ATGTATAAGTATATTTAGCTTGGAACATACGAGCTCAAAAGTGCCGTTCGGACCACGTCTCTCTAAATGGTTAGTATAATTAAAATGTTTTGTGCGATTAATGAATATAAAATAACATATTATCTGGCGGATACCTAACAATAGTGTTCCATTTTAAAGATCGTACGAGAAAGAAATTCAGAATAGGTTAACAAACTAATGCGGGACTGGTTTCATAAACGTGCGTTCCAAATTAAATAGACACAAGATCGCAAAAAAATTGCCTTAAGTGAAGTAGACAGTCACAGCGACGAACGATGTGTCATGAATACAAATGTACGATTAATTGAAATGTAGTGTTCGGATGGTAGCTGCAGGTTGGCTTCGAGAGTGGCAGCGGCTTAGTACTAAACTAGCTGCTTGCTTATAGTTGACAATGTATTCAACACGGAAAAATATTTAAATCGTGACCAAATCAACAATTACGAGCCCGACGTGCCAATAATCTAGGGTAATCAATTCTTGACTCAAACGGAGTTAAAACGACACGTCACTCGATCGTTGTAACATTGTTGCTAGTCAGGGATAAAGTCAGCCATTATGGGCGGTGATCCAGGCAAACATCCGAGGCCCCTTGCATCCAGCCTGCTGTACCCATTCACTAAGTTAAACCAATTTCTTGTCTAGGTCGACGTGGCGAGAAGGTACTAAGATTCATACATTCAAGGCAACGCGATACATCGAACGAGCATAATATTTAACAATATGTATTTTCTAACAAAAGATATTTATCAGTGTTAAAATCAATTCATATGTAGGTACTATAATTTGATATAAATCTAGAACACGGATAGATAACAAAAACGCGTTAATGCAATATTATTTATCTATTGTAAATTAATAAACTTAAGTACAATTGAATGATAAGATATCTCGATAAATTACTCTCCATTTTAGAAATAGTGTTAAGTGTCCTGCACAAAAACTAGCGCAGTCGGATCTTAGTAAAACTCTATAGGTACAAATACCCAACTTTAGTACCAGCTTATCGAAACTGAGTATTGTAGGTTCCTGTAACCAAGACCAGCCTTGTCTCTACGTATGTAGAAGAAGAGACACCCAAACAATTCAGTATATGTACAAAGCTGTTCATTGCAAGGAGTTCCGGATTCATAGAACACCCCGCGCGCCGCCGCCGGTAACTAACTACACCGAAACTCGTGTAGTTTGAGAGTTCTGCTGACCGGGTACAATGGGCCGCGCTTGAATAGCACGTGCGAATGACGGGTACGGCGCTTCAACTAACCACAGAGGTGTGTAGTAAGCTCTCTAAGCCAACGCGCTGTTAATGAATTTCATAGAGCTTACTTAATTAATTCCTGGAGTGCAAGATGATGTGTGCAACGGATTTAGTAACGACAGTTAATATTCATTGCAGTGATTGGCGAATGCGTGCGTGTTCCTTATTTGATTACTTTAATTGTGTTTTAGCAAGTTTCAAGTTTAAAAAACCCTTCTGCTTGGACTTGAGGGCTGAGGCATTTTACCTCTAATATATAATTTTATTTTACTATTGGTTTGATTAGACTTAAGATGAAGCCAAATAACATGATAATTTATGTTTGAAGTGTTCTAAACAAACATATAAAATAAATGAATTCACGTCTGTCAGTAAAATCCTTATCTCTGCAAAGGTAGTATAATAAACTAATACTTTATGGCATCTTTGATACTTCGTTAAACCGAAGGTATAGTGATTTATAAAAAAGCCAATATATAACTATATTCTATAATTTGGCCAATTCAGATTTGTACGTTGCATACAAAATCGTCTCCGTGCCGTAACTTTACTAACTGATTATTAAAGTTGTAATTGTAAAAAAATAAGTGTTGATAAGTGAGCATGGGTCGGGGGTCGACCGGCGTAATACAACGGCCTCACAGAAAACCTGCGTGAAACCAACGTTGTGTATAAGACGCTGTGTATTTTTAGTTCCGTTAATGAATTGTTATTATATTGTATGCTGATAACGGAGATATTACTGATTGCCAGTGGTCATGCTTGTAGTCTGTCTCATCTTCAACTGTTTTAATGGCTTATTATTTCACGTGTGACTAACTAAAGACGAATACTTGCTTTAGAGTTCAAAATCCCGCAATACTGAATGCTCGCGTGCCACGAGGAACCAATTTACAATTTTATTATTTGCTTTAGGCTGTATGTTAGATGTTCTACATTTGTTTAGAAGGAAAGACAGTGTAGTGTATTCTTGTACCTACTGAAACAATAATATAAATTGTTTGTGATTGATTTGTTTAGAGCTGAACTAATGAACAATGCCCTTGTTTATTGAATGGCAGACAATTTATATTACATTACTGGTGATGTAAATCAATTGCCGTTTAAGTGGGTGTACGTTACGCGTCTGTTCCTGATCATGATACTTGGATCCGTGTGGACCAATCGCATACTAACATTATCATTTATTTGTAATTTAAACTTTCGTCATTATTTATTCGCGTGAAACTAGATTAGGTAGAGGTAGCAGAGATAAGAGGTAGCGTTTTTCAAGCGGCAGCGGCATAAAACTATGTTCAGCATTCTTGTGTCTGAATAATAATGTTACTATAGATATTAAAAACCACTAAACCCAGAACTCGTGGCCTCGTCATTGAAATAAGTATAGAGTTCAAAAGGTGTGTCATGTCATCAAACAAGTACGGTACTGCCTATTGCTTCGGCGGCGTAATGACTGCAAACTAATTATTTTGTTTAAATGTTGCCGAAAATGAGAGATTTAACTTTAGTGGTACATTGTTGCGATTATTTCGAGGCACGCGAGTACTTGTCTTGCTCATCTGAAGGACAAGGTAAAACTACTCACGAACTTGGAATTTATAATTTCCTAATACGAATTGATTGTGCGATGACTTCAGAACATAAATATTTTATATTAAAGTGGAAAGAACATGAGTGGCCCATTCATTATTTCACTGTCATAAAATGCAATTAAAATCGACTACTCGCTAAATTTGAAGGATAGGCAATATTAGAATACAATAATATAATAGATTTTTTTCTAATATAAAAAGAGCGGATTAGTCAATTCAGTTAGAACTTTACTTTGAAACTGACTTCATGTCATCTGGAAAAACATCCAGGAGCTGATTTAGAGCTGTTTTAATTATTATTAATTATTATTCTAGCAGATAGACAAACTGAAATTATTATTAATTAAACCCTTAATGGGTTCCATATTTTATTTTATTTACAGATTATTCCTGTGGTCGAGAGTTCCAGTTTAAGTTTCGTCTCATATGTCTTTGATCTTCGCGTCACACAGTTGAGTCAGTTTGAGCTTGTTCCGTGATTATAACAATTTATTTTTACTATTGATACAATATCTCATGAAAACCTTGTTTTCTTTCATTTTAAATCAGTCAAAAAGCTTCAAGGCTTAAAGTTGTGGGCCCAGCCAGGATATATCAGAGAAAATACACATGCACCCCATCTAGATAATGATGGTGAATACGAATTAATCAAGCCCAAACGCAAGGTACTGTCTCTGTTGTCCAGCATACGTCAGTGGCTCGAGATCATTGGTGGATGTGGAAACTATAAGTCAGCCTCACTGGTAACGAAACTATTATATGGTGCGTGTATAGTGATGACTCACTGCAGTTCTCTTAAAAACTAAAGGTCACGCGAGCTATGAATTTGGCAAATTCTGCTGTAAATTTGAGAGGTCGAATAAAAAAAGAAGATATGTAAAGAGATTAATGTTAGAAATTCCGCAAGGGCAGTTAGACGCAGCCAGACCATGGAAGATTGGACAGAAGCAAAGTACAAATCCTGGCGGAGAAGTAATACTTAAATAAAAAATCTAATTAGATCTAAGCGACTTGGGAATTATGACCGGCACCGTTAGCTACCTCTTCCGTGGTCCTCGTGTGACCTAGTTCATATTATTTAAATGAAAGCAATAGAAATAAATATCTAATTTAAAAACTGAAGAATTCATGAATAATTTATTACTTTGTTGCTCAGATAAATTTATTATTGTGGTCTTTGGCATTGTGATAAGGATAACTATTCTAACTACTATATTGTGTGGACTCCGTGCTTTTTATTTTTCGAAAAGATTTGTAGGTATTTGAACCCTAACTTTTGCCAGTTATATTTCAAGACTTATAAGTCACATAAAATAGGAGTGCGCTCTATAATATGGTTTGTTATATACATCTATCGTAATATTATAAAGAGGTAAAATTTGTAAGTTTGTATATAGGGGGTAATCTTTGGAACCGCTGGTCGGATTGCCAAAATTTTCACTGATACATAGCTACAATGTTCCCGAGTGCTATAGGCTATAAAACATCACGCTACGATCAAATAGAGCCGAGCAGCGGGTGAAACCGCGCGAGTTTAGCTAGTATATTTATAAAATAGGTGGCAGACGAAAAGAATAAATCCTAGTTTTATTTGGTATTTGCTAATCAAGTGTGAGCGAAGTTGCGAGCAGATACCAACTCTACAAGATTTCGGTTCAAAGGTATAAAAAAATCGTACTTTAAAAAGAGTTCGATTAATTCACCTTTTTATAAATAAGAGAAAAGGAGGAAAATCTATTTGCTGTGTCAGTTTGCAAATATATTAATGTTTAATCATTTTTTCATGTACCAGAACATCAATATATATACACTGTTGTGTAACTGATTTTTTAACAACACAGATAGGTTTATATTTGGTAAAAATAAAATGTTTCCTTCCTTATTTAGGGAACTTTAGTACATGTTGCTCTCAAGTTTCGTTATCTCATTAAACAAAATAACTAATTAAAAATATTTGTCTCCAACAGATAATACTCCAACTACATATAACAAGATTGCTACTGCCAAATAGTAGGAAATGAGTTTTAAGACTGCTTCAAAGATGGAAATGCTCAAAAGGAGCTCTATACAGTACTAGTCAAACCTCGATAAGCCAAAAACCTCCAAATCTTAAAAAAAAATGTTTGTTCCTTCCCTTCAAACACCAAAACCTTTACTTGAAATATTGACCCTCTGTTAGTCGAAAATTAAATTTTGGTACATATTTTCACTCTGTAATTCGTAAAACTAAGTAAATTTGACCTCTGTATCTCAAACATAGCAATGGTTTATTTTACAACCTTTACAATTATTTGATCACTTGGTATTTATTACCTCTATTGTTCTAACAAAAATAAGTTACTTTAAGAACTTGCCGACAATGTGAGTACACTATTGTTTCTTAGAAAACATTTTAGGAGTATACGATAAATAGATAAATAAATAATGCTATGGATGAAGAGAACAACCAAATTATCTAAAGCAAAAAAAACAGACTTATTAATGCTATATATAGATTTATAATAAACTAGCTACTCCCGCGCTGTTTCAATCGCTGCTCGGTTCAATATAACTGTAGCGTAATGTTTTATAGCCAATAGCACCAGGGAACATTGTAGCTATCAATTAGTGAAAGAATTTAGGAAATCCGACCAGCTTTCCAAAAATTACCCCCTACCAGCAAACTTACAAATTTTACCTCTTTTTAATAGTAGTATAGATAAAAATATGTTTGTCACGTCTGCTAGTTGTATTTTATATATTTTACCTCTCTAACTGAAAAATGTATAAGAATAAACCTCAAACTCTTTATGTCGAATCAAAATCCTCCATAAGTTGAAAACTCTATATCTCGAATTTTTAGGTGTCTCCCTAGATGTTCTACATCATTATATTTGCATGTGTACACCTGATGGATTGTGATCACTACGATATGCAACATTACACTAGAGGAGCATATTGTGTGAAAGAAAAAGGCCTACATGAGCCTTTTTTCCTTCTTCTCCCCCTTTGTTCATTCATTCCAAGGGATTTCTGCCTAATCCACATTATTGTTTATCTGCTTCATTGTTTTGGGATTTAAATTTCAAAGCTTGTATATCTCATTTATAAGCAAATATGTAGGTATAAAATGCTTGGATGGGAAATCAAAACAGCATTTTTTTGAGTACCTTCCTGCATAACAGACACAATGTCCTCATGACAAGTGATGTGATACCACTCCTACACTTTTTCTTCCTTTTTATACAATGTTATTGGCTAATTGTTACAAATTTATGTAAAGCATTTAATATTAACGACTAAATTGCAAAAAATATTGCTTCTCAAAAGAACATTGAAATAAATTATTTTATTACTCTTTACTTAACAGTATATTATTTTTTTACTTCAAAATATAGAATTATTTAACACAGAAGATAATATATCTTTACAATAATGGCAAATATATCAATACAAAATATAAAAACCTGTTTATATCTATATTAAACATGTACTGTAATGAATAAGCCCCAGAGATGTGGCTATTGCAACTACCAACACATGAGCACATTCACTGACCAAAATTTGCAGAATTTGTATGTTATTGTTTGTTTACTTGATAACTGTTAAAGATCTCTAGATCTCCACTTACTCTCGGAGGAATGCTGGGGCTCCCCCAGCAAGTCACATGTGAGTGAAACATATTTACACAATATACTACTCACTGTTACAGTCAGTCATCTTTGGCACCATCTTCAATACTATACTAAATATGTAGAGCACTGAGTCGGCCTCCTTTTTCGGAACTGCTATACCGTGTCCACTTTAGGAGTAGGCACAAGCATGTAAGACGGAGAAGGCTTGCGCTTGAATGTGACATAGGTGTACAACAAGCTAGCCAGCACACTGATGTTGAGCCCTACAAAGTTCAACAAAGAAAACACATAGTCTCCCCCTATCACCATACCCAAATATGTAACTAGAATATTCTTCAGGCACCCAATGATTGTTGTAGTTAGTGCACTGTTGTACTGAGTGCAAAGCATGACACTGTATGACAGAATAAAGCCCATCACACAAGACATCATGAACTGTGCAAGGAATAGTGAGTCTGACCAGTTTGGGTACTCACTTGACTTGTGCAGGTCTCCAGTAGCCCACGCAATAATAGCTGCAGGGACTATCATGAACAAAGCATTGTAATACATCAGCCCATATTTACCAAGATCTTTAGCATCCAACTTCTTCTTCATGTACACTCCATTTGAAGCTGTGAATGCATCATTGAGCAGCACCAGTGTGTACCCAGACCATGAGAATGTGACGTCGTCAGCGGCTGCCAGCAGAGCTCCGCCCACCATAGCATAGACACTGGTTTGTACTGAACAAGAGGCATGCACTCCCAGTACAAACCGCTCAGCCAGCATCGTCATCAGTATACTGAAGCGTCGTAAGGCCGTGAACATTGGCAAGCTCAGTTCCTTGGTACCGCCTAGTCCAGTTGCCATGTTTCCCAAGTAGATGACTGGCAGAGGCCAGATACGCTTGAAGGTGCCACCATTAAGAGGCGGGAATTGCACTACATTGAGAGACCGGCCGACGAATAGCACTGTGATTGTCGCCACCATCTGTCCCAGGCCAAGAACTTGATATGAGGGGAATCCATAGGTCGTCAACACTGTCTTATTCACCACTGTGATCATAAACGACGCTACTGCATAGAATGTGGCACTCAGGATCTTCTTGAGCATCTGAGCTCGATCCGCCGCTTCCGCTTGCTCCTGCAGGCTAACAGCAGTCATCGTGCCACCACGTAACTAATTAAACTAAAGACGATTTAAACTAACATGATCGATTAGCGAACCTTTATAAAACCTTGTGGCCGGTCACGATGTTGTACATATTACATTTAATCGTTTACGCACTCTACACTTTCATGGTCAATTCAACGATTATTTTTCCAAAACTATTTAAGAAATAATATCTTGATTACACCACATGCAGGCTAACAGAGCGCCAAGCCGTGCTTAACAAGCAGCGACCTATGATGATGACAATTGATTTGACAGATCAACAACGATTCAATACTCAATCTGACATTTAGCTGTCAAATGATGACATTGAAACCGGTGCATTGAAACGTAACGTTACTGTACATACATGGTTTCCACCACGGGTTTGTTCGGGATTTGAGAAAACTAATAAAAATGGATCACCAAAATTCCCGAATCAATCAACCTACCTAGATAACATTTTTTACCTTGTGCTCTTTTTTATTAAACGTTTTGTATTTTTTTATTAGGTACATTAACTACATTATTCTTTGCTATTACAGATAGTATGTGTGTCTGTGTTTCATAACTACAGGAAAGAAAATCCTCATCCTCTGAGCTTGCACTTAGAATTGACATCATAGGATAGGATACATGACTGCTACTCAATAAAATCCACCGTTCGTTTTCCGTGTCCTGTCTCGCACCCAGGAATGAAGGTCGTCGTTAACCACGTACGTGTGATGGTCTACTGTGCTTGACTCTCAAGCTCCGCAGAGGAGTTATGTATCATTGGTGTCCTCTGTGCTCCATTATCTAGATGGTAGGCGTAGACAAAATGGACGCCACTGGAGCAGGTCTTGTTAAACAGCATCACGGAGACTTACCCTAAGTAAAAGAACTTGTATTTTCTGCAACATATTTAGTTCATCATTAAATCATTTGTGTTTTTAATTCATCTGTTATTATTGCAAATAGTGTCAATATTTATAAAAAACAAATTCAGATTTACAAGGCATTACGATACTACGTAAAATGTGATTTTCGAAAATTCATTCGTAAAGATATAAAAGGCAGGCTTTATTAGTTACCTTAATTTTATCTGTAGTCTACACGTCAACCATCTACAGATAACAAAGATATAACGTTTCGCTTTTACATGCTTACAGATAAGAAATATTCTTTAGTCTATGATTAAAAGAATTAGGTTTACACTATTTACCAATGTTATTAAAATATTTTAAATTAAATTCAGTGTCGTTATCGTCGTAATAAATAAGAAATAATATTTTTTTAGACAACAAATTACATAAAAAAAATTATATTCAGATTGTATTCACACACTCTGTCTGACATATTGTTCATGTTGTTTGTCGGACAATGAACGAACGGTGCATTGTGAAGAATTCGTGTATCAGACATCAGACAGACCAAACCAACCAAGCGACATTTTGATTATTATTCCATTGTATTGCCATGTCAGTCAATATTGTTTGTGTAATATAAATAATCACGGGTAACGTCGTAGTGATGCGTTGTTAATAATGTTTGAGGAATAAGACGTTCATAACTGATTCGTATACGTAGGCAATAATTCGCGTTTGAGTTTTCAGTTATGTATCACTGTTGGGACGCGTAGCTAGTCTGAAAGTGGTACAGGTAGTGTTAGGAGGGCATTTTTTGTTTTTTTATCGTGATTGCTGGGATTTGTCGGCGGGATGGCTGTTCCCGAACAGTTCTCACTTCGATGGAATGATTTCCATTCGAATTTGTCTCAATCGTTTCATGCCTTGCTGGAAGGTGAAGACTTGGTTGACGTGACCCTGGCCGCTGGTGGCCAGTACGTGCACGCTCACAAACTGATCCTCTCAGTATGCAGTCCATACTTCAAGGAACTTTTTAAGGTATGTACTATGTACTTGTTGATTTTGTCAAACACTACCTTCATTTCCTTATAAAATAATCTTGGTACCTGATGTAATTCTTGGCCTAAATTTTCTTCAATGCAGTCTTTCTATAGAAAGAAGCACCTTTGAATTCAATGTATACCCCCTGTAAACCTGTATATTGTAAGATATTTAGATCAATGCTGGAAGAAACAAAACAAAAGTGCAATATAAATAGCTATAATGTTATATGCATATGTAATGTGTCATATGTAATTGCAAGTTATGAAGATGTACATGTGTCCAGCATGGCTGCTAATTGTATTGATTTTTATCTATAGGTGTTTAGATGTTTATGTAACACACTCCCCCACACACCCTGCATAGGGTGCAAGCCAGACAGGAGGGTTGATTTTAGGTATTTAGCATTCCCTGTCCGCATCCCTACCTCACCTCTGATCTGTATGGGGAGGGTCTCTCTTATTATTATTTGTGATTTGGTAGTGGCTGCTAGCAGTTGAACATTTCTCTTGTTTGTGAACAGTTCATTCCACTCAGAATTTTGTTTAGTGTCTTAAATCTGTTTGTGAGTATTTTTTTTATATGGTATTGTTTACCAAAACTGTTGAAGTTTTGTGTAAGAATAAGCTGTGGTAGTGAAAACAGAAAATTTATTTCAAGCTATTGGTTGGTCTGCAGCCTTTTATGCTGTGTACAATTAATTACCAAGAGAATATTTTTATATTTTTCTTATTGATAAAGAGGAACTAACAAGTATCTAGTGTCATGCTAAATAACCAATAGGGAAAAGTTGTAAAAAAGTAGTGACTGGAAGAATAGATACTTGTTGTGATTTAATTAATGTCTCAAGACTCAGTCAGTAAGAAATAACAGCAATGAAATACTTAGATCCTGTAGGATGTTATTGTCACCTAATTGCTAAGCCATGCCATTTTGGTTCAATGTGTACTTTAGCAATAATATATTATGTTAAGAAATTCAATGAATCACTAGTATTGTTACAATGACCTTTGTTCCATATCTCTGTCATATTGAAACTATAACAAATAAAACCTATGCATGAAGACACCCGTTATCATAATAGCAAGAATATGAATAATACATTTTTTTATCGTACATGTTGTAATGTTATGAAAAAGGAATACAAGTTATTTTGAATGCTAATTTTTATCTAGGTTTTTAAATTTATCAATAAACTTATATTTAATTTTGTGACTTGAATGAGTGTGGCTTGAAGTTTGATATTAACAATTTCAATAAAAGTACAAGGTCAAAAAACTGTATGTTTTATAACTATTCCCAACTAAATATTACATAAAGATTCTGGTACTTTATCCACTTTATAGAATACCAGTGCAACATATTTTCATATAAATATTATTTAAGAGTTATCTGGGAATGCATGTTATTACACAGTTAGAAATGGAAAAAAAAACAACTGAGTGAAAGTATCATTACAGTGCTATCTTTAGTAAATATGTCGTGTATTTATTATAGTTACGCTTATCATGAGTAAACCTTTTCAAGAAATGTAAGCTTGTTAAGTATAAATTGGCAGTTATTTGTCCTAAGTGGCTATGAGTGGCAATTGCATTATAATATTGCAAGGAGGGCCTTGCAGCTACTATGAATACAGCTTTGTCATGACATCATTAATGCAATCTATTCACAAATACCACTAGCATTGTAAAGGAATTAATGAAAATTTTACCTAATGCTCTTATCTATAGCACTAAATAGGTACTCAAAATGTGAAATTATTTAATAAAGTAAACAGGTTTTATTCTGTTTTGACAGATGAACCCATGTGAACACCCAATAGTAATATTGAAAGACGTGGCACACCAAGAATTGCGCCAGTTGCTTCAGTTTATGTACCGCGGTGAGGTTCACGTGCGTCGCCAGGAGTTGTCTGGCTTCCTTCATACTGCTGAGCTTCTACAAGTCAAGGGTCTGACTGGAGGCCGGGAGGTAAGTGTTGATCTTTAGAAAAATGTTTCACCGTAGTGGTTTGTGGAATAGGTCAAATTACCTGATGATGAAATCATAACTGCTCATGGACCTTGGACACCTGTTACACCAGAAGAGTTGTAAGTTAGTTTGCCAGCCTGTGGTAGACAATAAGACTGAGCGGGCAAAGCGAGCGTTGTTTTGCGCCGGTTTTCGGTTATGCTATCATGGTATATTTGGCATTATGATAGTATAATATCACTCATTAAGGTAGCCCTACATGGTTTTTGGGATCTAACTTAAAATAGTTGGCTGAAAAAGTTTGGTGGACATTGTGTTGTGCATAGCGGGTGACTGTTTAACGAACGAGTCTGCGTGCATAAGCGCAATTTGGTTATTCTGCATTCTTAAGTAAAAGTAACTATCCTAAGAATAATTTTTGAATGAAGATTGACCAAATAACTCATTAATGTAAGTAAACCCTTCGACCTAGGAATCAAAAAGAAATTCTTTAGTTATGTGTGAATAACACAGTCATACGTAACGACAATAAGCAGTGCCTAGATTATTTGTGAACATTAATTAACAAATAACAACAGTACAAAGTTCAAGTTTCTGTAAAATTTAATTAGTGTTTCGTCGATGAGGTCTATACTGAACGGTTTGTGCATCTCATTAGTACAGTAAATCATGGGTAAAAAGCAGTGAAGCGTTTCATAAGGGGTGCAATTTGTTTTGTAATAAAACATCTCCATGTAACTTAATCCGGCTTTTCGGGGTGGCGTCTGCCCACCCTACCTGTGCGTGGAGGCACCCTACCTGTAGGTGGTGTGGGTGCCGGTAGCTCAGCGGCCATATTGTAAACGAGGGTGTCATTATTCATATTTCGAGTTATGTTGTAAACCACGTCTGCGAAAAGCACAATGAAAGTTTATGAAGCGTCGAGTTTTAAATAACGTCTGATACTGGTACTTGTTACTAGTTATTGTGAATTTCGGGTTTTTTCTTAACGAAAAATTTTCTGTACTCCCGGGCGGCATTGATACCCAAAATTGGTGTCCTTTTTTTGAGTGTCCTTTACTAACCGTTTATCTTCTAAACTGCCTCTAGCAGGTCCTAATGTATGGTAATAACTTCCACAGCGGAGCGAGTCTCCGACTGGTATGGCTGAGGAGCCCCCAAAGCCTACGCCCCCACAACAGGAAACAGTTGAGCAGCCGCCAGCCGAGTGGTCCCCTGCAGTGGAAGACACCACCTCCTCCGAGCCTCCTCCCGAACCCACCGACACAGTCACCATCAAGGAGGAAGCTGCAAGGAGCCCGCTTAAGAGGTAACAAAACAAACCATTCCTGATAGAGGTCTTGCTCCTCTAAAGTCATTGCGCTCTGCAATATTGATGTTATCTGGCTACCCTTGTATTTCCTTTCAGATTACTGAAGAACACCCCGACAAAGAACAGCCACAACACCAAGAAGAAGCCGCGCACAATCAAGGACTCGCCCACTCACCCAGAGAACACCGACTACCCTTACGACGGGTATGTACTTACACTCGTTTCAAATCATAATTACCTTCATACAATATATGATATTTTATGATTAGCGTTTTCAAAAGCTTGTTTCACAATACATTTGCTTGCTGCTGTAAGATTGATGGCTGCTAGGCTTTGCACACAGATGCACTTCACCATTACCATACCAACTAACATGCCATCAACACGACGTAGCTACTGGTTACTAAGGTACTTTCTCTTTCTTCTGTTAGAAAGCATTACATAGCTTAATTTGAACTGTAATTAATAAAAGTAGCATTAAGTGGGATTTACACAGGGAAATACAGTCATACGATTTTATGACACGGTTAAATAGTCATTCGGATATGTCTCAATTGACGATAGCCGCAAGCTGCAAGTCCTAAAGTCGAGTAGCTTGCAAGTTGGACGGCATGCGGCTGGTGAATAGAAATAACTGTGTAAACGATCGGTTGAAAGCGATCGCCCTTCTTATCTCCTCAACGTTTACGAAGATTATGGTGCCTCGGGTGACTGTGACTCTAGTCGATTTATGAAGTTCCTAGCCAAAATCGACCCCTGTAAATCCCTCATTATGTATTTATACGATTTCATACAAAAAGCTTTATTAATACAAAGGCTTTTATTATTGTAATGCGAAGCACTAGTGAATTGTAATGTAGCTTGCAACAAGCCACTATCAGCGCTTTAGAACTTACGTTACGTTGCGCGTTGCTTGCAGCGAACCGCTGATTGACTTCGACAACGACCTGTTTCACAGCGTGCTTGTGCTGCCCGAGTCTGCCAAGGAGTCCGGTAAGTCTTACATGCTTGTACGCTCTGTTGTTCTAAAATAAGCTTTCAGTAATTGACCTCTTAAGAGGTAGGGAGAAAATCGGGAGATGCTCGCTAACTTTGTGAAAGGCTTAGCCTTTGGGTGATTCAGTCGAATTGTGATATAGAACCATATTTTGTAAATATTAAACACAAATATCTATTTTAATGAAATAAAGAATAACAAAAATATTTTAGAAATGTTTAAATAATTTAAAACATTAATGGTAGGTACTATTCGGCGCATGTGTACAATATAAATCACTAGTTAGATATTCATAATATTTCATTGTTTTGTTATTTGTTACCATGTAGATACCTTACTATGACTAACCCTACGGTTGTATATAATTATTAATTTAGAAACAATTAATAATAACTTTAAAAACACATGGAGTTTGCACAATGACATAATTTCTTTGTTTTTGTAGTGATTTAAAAATGTTTTGAATAGGTGTTATGGTATCACATTATGTGTATACAGTGGAATAGTGCAAATATTTTTTTAATGTTTCATGACAGTTGTTATTTGGGGAATTCATTTGTTTCTGATGGCTGTTCTGATTGTTCAATAGTCAGATAAATGTTATCTGAGGCATAAAATTGTTGCTGTCACTGTCTTATACAAACATTCTGATGCGACAGCATCATAATTATTTCCCGGGTAACTTTTGTCTAACCACTGAAAAATCAGCCCTGAGTTAAATAGAATACTTGTGGAATTAAAAGTTTTATTACGAAAGTAATACATTTGTAAGAAATGTAGATACCTATAGTTAATGTTTAATTAACCCTGATGTTAAATGTGGTTTAACCTAACCATTGTCACCATGTATACGCTACATATGTAACTGGCTCGCCCACAGCAGGTTGGAACTGCAAGACGGGGGGAGTAAAGTGTCCGTCGTGCCACCGGTACTTCGCGAACCGGTACAACCTGAAGGTGCACATCCGGGACAAGCACGACACACGCGAGGGCACGCTGCAGTGCGACATCTGCCAGAAGCGGATGCGCAACCCGTCGTGTCTGCGCGTGCATATGTACCATCACCGCAAGCAGGCCGCCTACCTCGCACAGCTCAGCACGCAGGGAGAACCCATGAAGCAAGTGTCCCATTCAATAAAAAATTAACGTTACTATGACGCCCATATGACGTCATCCTTATGTTATTACATTAAGGAAAATATCAATCACATTCCTTCCTCATTATTTGCGGTTACATGCACAAACACTGTATTTGCCAATACCATTGAAAATCGTAATTTTTCGTCTGATTCGACTGTTAACATGACCAACTAACTCTTTTAGGGAAGGAAACAATCAATCAATGGACATAATACAATAATACGAAAACTGAAACAGTGAATAATATTGTAGATAGGTTTATTTACTTCAAGTTTTAAACTCTCGTTCGAGCTAACTAATGATCGAACTACTGATATAAAGCTAAAAAAACAAAATTCATAGAGGCCTAATATACTCATAGTTCTACATTGCACAATTTACTTAGCAAATGTATGTGAATAGTGTTATAAAGTTTATTTATACAATTCCAGGATGCAGAACATGGTCGGTGGAGGCAAGTGGCGCTCCGACTCATCTATGAGCAGCGGAGACTTCAAGGATGTCGATAAGTAAGTACTTTTAATAATTTTAGGCATGTTCTGAAAGGTAAGTACATCAATCAGAATAAGAAATGCTACCTAACCATCTTCCATTTTAAAAAAGCCCTTTCTTACGATGATTCATCAGCAATAATGAAAAGCTTACAAAAAATATGTATATTTGTCTTAAACAACATACACTAGGAATCTTTCTATATCGTGAATGCGTTTATAAACATACATATATACACAACATAATTTCAGAATAATATCACAATGATTCGTAAAAAAATCTACAAAGCCATTGTTTTTTACATTTCGAAATGCCTAAGTATTGAATATGAGTAGTTGGTTACTATAATAATATATTTGGTTAGGAATGCAATCACTATAGTTGTTACCCCTTTCTGATGTACAAACAATTAGAGAACCACGAAATATTTAACAACAATAATAGAACTATCTCTATTATGTACTATAATAATAATCACTTTGAATGGACTGCGTATATTGAACGATGATTTGGAAAATAGATATTTTGTTTACCTCCTGACCACACAGTTCTCCCAATTTGAGATACCTCTATCACACGAATGTTTTTTTGTTCATCTGAAACATGTTTAATGGCTGTGCGATTTAGCTTAACTTAATTCAATAAACTTGTGCAACTTTGGAACATTCTTGTTCTATTAACGTATACAAATAAAGAAGTATTGCGTTAGCCAAGTTATTAATAGAATAATAATAATCCCCAAAGTTGAGAATATAATTTTAGATAATGTCATGCAACTCGTTTCAAAAACTGGTTTAGCATTTTAAGGTATCGTATAAAGGCTGAAATAACAAGCGATCTTGATCTAAAGTGCCTGGATCGATCTTGATTTTAAACTGAAACTTCTTACAACTAGATAATAAAAATGGATTATTATCCAAAAATTTAGGTCGTTTACATTACCGACCTTGTACAAGGTTAAGTTTGCCGTGCCTTATGCCAGTTATTTAGTGCCTTATGCCAGTTATTTAGTGCTGTGCAGTTGCTGCGAATGATGATGATCTTGTTTGATTGATTTGCGATGTGCTTATTCTACACGCACTGCGATTGTATTTTGAACTTATGACATTATAAACAGCTTGATCACGTTTCAAACATTGTTATTGCAAAGCAAACCCTATCCGTATTTTAATAGCTAATATTTCCAAGTTTCCTTTTATAAACTAACATGCTGTGTTCGTAGCTAACTAAGTTCTGTACGATTCTATGAAAACATTATGAGGTGTAATCTTTAAGCAGTTGCACTGATGTTACTTTAACAAATTATTGTCTATAGTCAGACTTTTAATTCGATTCCTGATTTGACATTGACCACTGTCATTTTGTGAAATAATGATACCACATATAACAGTGTAGTGATGAACACAAAAATCGATAAACAATCAGTGAATCAGTTTCAGGAAGGCATTCAAGAAATTACGGCTACCGAATGGTCTAAATGTGTATCCCATGTTTTCAAAGAAGAGGAAAAAATGAGTAAGCTAGATATGTTAATTGACAATAAATATCAAAGACACAATTCCTAATAAATGTTACATAGAGTAACGGCGATAGCGATAGCGATGACGGCGACAATTTATAAAATATCTGTTTTATTTGTCACGTTCCTTCATGATCACATTTTTTATTAATTTCACACACAATTACAAAAGAAAACTCTCAGATCGTTAATTAATTGTCAAAACTAAATTATCGGTTCAGAAATATTTTAGTTCCTGATAAACTTAGTTTACGAGAGTAAATTTATAAACGAGAGGAATCGATTCAGAAATATTCGATTTTCATATCGAATAATTTCGCAACGTCACTATTTATTACGTGCCATAACGTTGCAACACTGAAATTGTCAAATCTGGAATGGAATTAAAATTCCGAGTATAGTTTGCGGTTTGCATCAATGTGCCAGAAGCTACATACTGAATTATATTTAACAAACATTCAATTTGTTAAAATGCTGAGCGAAAGAAATGTTTCCAATGTTGTTATAAAGTTATTATTCATTACCAGCAATATTTTTTTTTATGAGAAGAAAAATTCCGCGTGTTTATTATAACTCAGGTGTATTTTAAGTGTATACAAAGCGACCTGTGTTTTATTTTAGACGGATGCTATGACCAAATACGTATATAGCTATAGCATTATTAACTTAATTGAATTCTCCCCTTTGGCGAATGTATTATTATTACCCATGTATATTCGTCAGAGCTCTGCTTGGTATTGCTTGGCAAATAATAGTAAATTGCGAATTGTAAAGCATCTACATTAGAATAATATTGTGTTAGAAGTAACCTTAACTTTTGTTTAGTTTTATATGCACTGACCTTATTTCGGAAATCCAAAACGAACTGTGTGGTCTTATATACATAGTAATTATATTTGGGAGTTTGTTAATGTAGTCTTTCAAATTATATTCAGGATAATCTGTAAATGTAATCTTTGACGAGCATGGCTGGCAGTTGGGAAACTGGCTGCCGCACAACGTGTCGAGGGTTCGATTCCAAACGGAACAAGTCTTTGTGTGATCCACAAGTTGTTTTTCCGGGTCTGGGTGTCATGTGTATGTGAAATTGTATGTTTGTAAATGCACCCACGATAAAGGAGAAAATCCTAGTGAGGGCAAAATTTAAAAAAAATCTTTGTCGAAACTGCTATGTTTACAATACAGTCAAAAACAAAAATGGATAAAATCAAAATAGGGCGCACTTTAACGCTACTTCCCAACTTGGGGGAGTGGTAAGGGAGTAGTCTCTTGTAGGCGGTTATACAGGAGTGTTACATCGGGAACGTGGTCTAAAATCTAAATGGTGCAACGTCAAATAGGGTCGTGTGTAGGGAAGTGGTGGGACAGACTTTGAAGACCTAAACACGAGGTTTTTCAGCCAGTCTTTGAGGTGTGGCACGACAGATGACATAACTGCACCTTAACATAAGTGCTTTCAGCGCATTGGATGCTTCGTTCGTCTGATGCGTCACTGCGTTTATCGTGAAGAGTGTGTGGCGTGGGACGACTCACCCTTTCCTATAGACATTATATTGGTCTCGTTGCTAAATTCGTGGGAAGCAGCGTATCTTTCTGAGAAAAGTAATGCTGTACAAAAACGCTGCAAAAAGTGAAATTGAGATCATAAGACCTCTCACAGTTGGCGCACCGGGCGGAGGAGGAAAGTAGATGTCGCCCTTCCTTGATCCCGTCGCCATACGCGTAGTGGAATACGGAAAGAACCACACCTCATTCCCACATGCACCTTGGTCTGGAGCCTAGAAGTCGTACGCCTGTTAGAGTGACAGTCCCCTTTTATCTTACTGATGACAGAGCTCCATGGTGACTGTCCTGTAACAATGTATATAACTTCATCAATGAAACAATAAAGTTATTTTTGGAATAGGCTATATATAACAACAATGTTACACGTCAATATTATATAGAATACTTAAATAAGCGAAAGGAGAGCGAAGTAAGGTGCAGTGAGAAACGCGTTAATTTCTTGCTTTTCAAGGGTAATGCCCTAAATAAATAAAACCTAACCTAACCTTACAATAATGTTCTAAAGTAGTATTTTGAAAATTATGTAAATTTGCAGAAATATAAATAAGTATACATAATTTTAGATAAATCAATCCGATAATGGATACAAACAAGTATTTATTCCGGATAAATACTGAAGTGGTTAGTTTTCGCCTATCATTAGCCACAAATTCACTACATAAAGTTTGGGAAGCGAGTAGCAGCCCGCTTGTGTGTTATTCTTTGCTAGTTTATTACTTGTGCTATGTTATTGATATTATGATACCTATATCCTGGAGGAAAACATCATCGAAATAAAAGCCAAAGCTGGCGTGACGGAAATATTTAATGATTACCTTAAGTACTATAATCATTTACCTAATGCCATGGATTGCATTTTGTTCAACGTCTGTCATTAACTGCTATTGGTCTAAGCTAAATGTTTGGAATTATCTTTACAACAGCAAGGTCACTGTAGGTTGGAACTACTAGGTTACTTCTAGCAATGTTACGTTCTTCAGATGCATATGAAAATAAAATATGTCATATTTTACATTTTGTGCTCGGTGTAACAAATTCGCGTATAGAGGAATTATTACATGCAAATCAAATTATTACATGGGCCCCATACTGTTCTAAAAGATGTTAATAAAACTTTTTTAAGTTTAACAACATCAATGCATTTGTGTATTTTACTAGTTTTGTAATGGATCTGCATGTGATGTGTTCCCACTGAGATGAAAATGTCAACACGTAAATAAAATATATAATTAAAACCGAAGTTTATGTATAGGACATTGTTGTGTATTTTAATAATTTACTTAATTTACCTTTAGCGATGGCAAGACGATCACCTAACTTTATATGAAATTTTTCTTTACAAACTTAGCTTCAAGGGCTGTATGAGGATTAATTGTCACAAGCTTTATACAGTTGCCTTAGATTTTGGAACCAAGGGTAGAAGTCCCTTAGTCCGGAAAAAGAGGATTATCAAGCCAGTTACAGGGTTACAGCCCTACAGTTGTACGTTGGGATTTTCTATCCATAGTATCTGCGCGCAAATTTCACACTCTATAGGATTTGTGACGTCAATTGTTAATAGTTTATCGTCGAATCTTCTGTGGGCGTCACCACAAAATTGTTTCGCAGTTTTGCATGAATCATGTACTTAAAGAATTCTTTGGCGTTCCTCTTCTTTGCTATCCTTCCACTTCTAAATTCGGCTCTAGCTGTGACTCATGATATCGAAAGAGTATGAAGTTGGCTACGGGATGAAATCTTGTAAGGGAGAATGGAAAAAGAAACATTGTGCCGACCCCCTATTAACATGGTACAAGAACAAGAATAAATAGTGTTATATGATTTTCCTACTCATAAAATGGCCGCTCAATGGTCGAAGTTAAATCGCTGAGGCCGATATCAGCCATAAATCTTAAACATAATTGGTTAGTTATTGGTTTGATGTCTTACGATGAGCGTCATAAGAAAGCTCAAGGTTGACTACGCAATGGATAGGGTCTCACTCGTTGTTTCTTTGTGAGTCAATTTGTGATGATGAGATGAGGGGATTGGTAAATACATAAAAGTCGGATAAGTAAGATGAAGTGACCTACGGCCGGTCAGGCAAAACTTTGTTATGTCTCTACTGGAGGCCTCGAACGGGCAAGCGCGACGTTCAACCGCAAGGTAAATAAATGACCTGGTAAAGATAGCAGAAAGAAGCCAGATACAGGTAGATTTATTGGGCACCTCGCAGTCTGGGAGTGCTTATGTTGAGTAGTGGACGTCTTGACATGTGAAGCAATTTCGTTAACTATATTTGTACACATTATTTTAAAGGTTTTTAATCGCTGTTTTACTTTATACCTGTCGTTCTGTGATATTTTCAGACTCGTATCTCACATACAAGACAAGTAAACTGATATAATTGACATTAATGTTGGGCACATATGCATTAAATAAATGTCGCGATGGCCCTGAGGTTAAGACGCCTTTCCAACCAAGACCTAAATATCATTTTTCCCTAGTTTATAATATCGAAGATTTATTAAGACACCACTAACGTACACTGAAGGAAAACATCGTGTGGAAATTTTTACTTTTTATTATCTCTACTTATAAGTTTGAAATAGCCACGCCTTGAGCTTGCTGAGTCATTAATGCTCCCCTTCACCGTGTCATAAGAAGTCTTTGCTCCAGCACATAAAGGCTGGTGAATTAAACTAACTTTTTTGATATGATACGTTTATGACATGACTTATAATGAACATCATTAATTATACGATAACAGCACGTCGATTCTTTAAAATTTATTTGATTTTGAATCTTGATCGAAATTACATTATAAAATGCCACTTTTAACTTCATTTCATACTTTATCTATCAAAATGTTGCGGTCAATTTAGTTAAACTCGCAAGTGTAGCGCTAGTGTACGTGTGAAGTCTTACAGAATCACACTGCAGTACATACCTTAATTATTCTATCTTGAATTATTACTAAATGTTGTTGAATACATTTTAATGTGTAAATACAGTCTTACTTTTGTTGCTTAATCTTATATAGGTATAAAATTAATTTCTGTTCGTTAGTCTCGCTAAAACTCGAGACAGGTTGGGCCGACATGACTTATTGTGGTCTTCAAATATTCCTGGGAATACAAGAAAGGTTTAAAAGACAGAAACTAAAAAGAGACACTAAATAAAAAAAAAGAAATATTAGTTACATTTGCCGGGTCTTAATAAAGCTATAGAAAAGTAAAAATGAATAACCTGAATGATTGATGTACATTTATATTTAAAATAGGTGAGTGATGAACTTTTTTTTAAACACCTGTAGTTCATGTGATCACTTTACTTAAGATTAGATGGTGGTGGTGTCAGTGTATAAAGTTTTAACCACATATCAACGTTTTTAAATGATGAGTGTCTTTACACTTACCAAAAATCTGCGAAAAAGCTGGATTCGTACAGGCCTAGTTTATAATAAATTTCTTAGTCTTTATTGCCTACCAAATTGAGTTTCTGAATATAATATCTCTATCTGAATATTCTGGTACTATCTATTATTCTATGTTTTATTATACAAAAAAATACGATATAATGCCATGGGCATTCACTCTTAACAAACGTAGTGTAATGCCTAAGAGTGGTTGTATGAGAAGAACTGAAAATGGCCTGGCCTGGGTCCAGCTGTGGACCATATATATTCTTCTTATATGGGTATAAATCAAGTAATATTGTTCTGAGTTTTGAAATATCAATATATTTAAAACTAGCTACTCTAAAGCGGTTTAATCGCTGTTTAACATCGTGGCGTGATGTTTAATAGTCTAAAGCACTAAAGAACACTTTGTAGCTATCTACCTATCAGTGAAAGAATTTTGGCAATTCTTACATACTTGACGGTATTTAGACCAAAATGGTAGGGAAGTGCAGATAAAATGGGCATCTGTGTTTAAACACAAAGGCTAAAAAACTTTGATAAAGTTAAATTTCTCATTAGTTTGCCCTTGAGATGTAAAAGTCAATAAGTCAGAGAATAACAGATTTTTCAATTTGTTGACAGTTTCTCGCCAGGATCTACTCCAGAATCGAACAAGGCGTTTCTCGCGCAACTTGGTCAAAACGAGGCAATGAGGCAAGCGTAAGTATAGTTCTTTAGTTCTAGAGGTCGCTTACTGATATAGTCAAAGAAGTAATTCATGTTGTTTTTGGCTATTGGTTTTACAAAATTATAGTTTTTACGACTGTCTTACATTACACATTGACAGTGACTACTTACGGCAGTAGTGCTGGTTAACTAGTTACGTATAGTAAAGTTATTTCCTTCTTGCGAAGGAAGATACAATATTATTTTACCTTTCTACTGGTTCCTATTGTTATGGTTCCTCGAGTCTGCTACTACGGGTTACATATTAAGGCGGTTTGTTGTCGACACGTATACCTACTTATATAAGGAATTTTTATTATATTTTTGAGTTATTATCTGAATCTAATGATAATCTTGCAAGAAATTGTACTTTGATTTTTTGCAGGCATTTTAGGTTCACGTTAATTTGAATATTAATAACAAAGCTAAAAGTAATAAAAAAATCGTTTCACATCAATACTCGTATGTAATGAGTTATATACCAAAATTACAGTTTCTCTACATCGACACCTGAGGCGAAGTGCTCCCCCGAGGCGAACAACGTGTCCAGCGGCGCCGAGTCTGGCAAGCTCTCTGATTCCGTGGTCCCCAAGACAGAAGCGGATTCTGAAACCGTATGATGTCCAATGAACAGGCATCCTCTCATCTACGACTTCGTGGCTCCCGACCGGCTGTACTCTATCTTCACCGAACAATCTTACTGGACCAAAAACTTCATCTTCAAAGTGGGGCGTAAGAAAAGGAAGCGCAATAACAGTAACGCCCCCGCCAACAGGACCCCAGGTAGGCCCCTCCGGCGCTCAGAGCGCCTCCGTCGCAGTCAACCACCTGAGATTTAATGTGTGATTCATGATTGGATACTCTTCTTTTTTATATTACTTATATTTTAGTATTACACACTGTACCTCAACATTTTATGTAGCGTGTTCCTTGATGTTCTTTTGTAAAATTATTATTTGCGAATATACGACGAACTTTCCGATGAACTTTGTTTAACAAAACTTAGTTTTTCTAAATATCAAATGGACGTCAAGGAACCATTGAAATTCTCAGACTCTTGTCTTAATTAATTATACATGTTTTTTATATTAAACATTCCAATACACAAATTCCAAAGACTGAAACAATATACATTGCATTATAATATTATGTAGTATTTGAAAAGCGCAGGATGATTTTATATTATTGTCATTATTGATGTAGTGTGCGCGCGGAGAGTTGCAATTTGTCCGTAATCTTATTTATTCGGCAATATATTAGATGTAAGACTGGAATTGATGCCATTCTTCTTATATTCTCTTTAATCTATTATACTCTTAACTTTATAAGTATTACGTAAGGACTTTAGACATTTTATATTCTGTACTTCTACAATTTTGGATATTGGATCTACACTTAGGTTAGTGAGTATTAATCGCGGTAACTGAACCACATCCTGCGCTTTTATAAAAAGACGAGATTATTAACGTGACTTGTATTCTATCAGCCAGTCTTTTACTGTAGCGATGTGACAAGTTGTAGAACATCCCGTGGTAAAAGATTGGACCATAGATGATTTTCATAATAAAAATAGAGCAAGTACAAGTTATTGTAGGCAGCTAGACCGACACAGATGATAATTTAATTATAGAACAAACAAACGTTGCCATTCCGCGTCGAAGTGTACAAAAGAAACATTTTCGTTTATTGACAACATGGTATGATAGGTGACCGTTTAAAGCATAACCTTACAGTACAAAATACGTTATCGTATATTAATCATCTATGTATGCTTTACTTAGATTTTAAGTTATTTTTAAGTTTTTAGTTAAGTCCCCGTAACGTGAACAATTTATACGTACAACATAGGTTTAACGATGTATACATTTTTTATATTATACAAGGGTTGTTTAGGTGTATTAAGAATATAAAATTATACCTCAATATTTGAAGCGACTGTTTATGTAAGATATGTTATCCACTTCGGTTGACCGTTGGGAACAGAAAGTTTGCTCTCGTTCACCAAAACTTTGTTTATTTCTAGTTTATATATTTTGTACATTCCACAAGTTACAAAGTAGTATCCGCCCCGGTAGATGATTGTGTGGTTCAGGAACGGGAGCGGCTAACGGCTGGTCCGAGTGTCTGGTCGGTGACAGATTACATTCCAATATAATATTATAAGGTATTAAAATTTCGTCAAATTGTGACCGGAAGATATCGCACGGGTCCGACAGCGTGTCTTGCAATAATGTGGTTGCTCGTGTTAACGTTTCTCTGGTCAGGCTTTAAAGCGCGAATAGCTTTAACGTTTTAAGAATCGTCCCATCGTAATGAAGTCGAAATGTATTGTAGTCATTAGCTCTCTTATTGTAACGAGGTGAACCTTGGATCGGCGCCATCCGGCGGCATGCGTCGGCCGCATTTTTTGTATATTTTTGTACGACTTAGCCTCGGTCCGCATCACTTCGGAAGAAAATGTTAAAAACAAGTACGTCCAATAATCGGTGTATTTTTATAAAGGTTTGGGTTTCTAACCATTAATTATAAGGGGTAATGTGACTAACACTTATGATATCGAAAAAAATCTCTTTACATTCCAGTAGGTATAAGCGTACATAATCTAAAAAAAATAGAAACTTTTTTCTAACGTTATAATATTATATTTATAAAATAAGTTCGTAGCATTTAAGTTTATAAAAGAGATTATTAAGAGGTACGAGTTAAGAACATTCCATAGTAATGATAGCTCTTGTAGATTTTTAGCATTTATATTGATATATCAAGTGTTTTTTACCAAATTATTTTTATACCAATGCTATTTACATTATAGTATATGTCGAGTGTATAGACGGTGACCGCAACGCATCTGTCGGTTACGACAAGCTCACAATATTTTGATTTATTTGAAGCGAATTGTTTTAAAGGCAGCGGCGACGTAACTATACAAGAAGTAGCTTCACTTATTCCGAACAGAGCGCACTGTGTGTCGTGCACACACAGTCAGGACTAAGGCAGTTCAGCAGGCAGCTATAGTGCCCATTCGTACAATCACAACAGACCTTGCAGCACAGTATTCGCCGCTGCCTTCAAAACACACCCTCTAGAGCCCGCTCAAGATTTTTAGTACTCGATGAAAGCGCTCAGAATATATTTTTACTCTTTATTCTATGTAATACTCAGTTTACTTTGTTGCCAAATATAATACTGTCATCAGTATAATATCAAGTCAGACGCGAGGTAGCCTCAACGTTGTTGTCTTTATATTACAACGTGGTGTTGCAGTATTGTGTGCAACGCTCCGGTAGTCGTGTAACGGCTACGACTTGACAGTTTTGTCATGAGAGCACACGTGGAGGCGCCTCGAATATAATGGAATCATATATAACATTCCACAGTAATAGATTAAGAAGCGATTGTCGCACATTTATCGACTAATTAATACTTTATATTGACCTGTCAGTAGTGTTTCTGTAATCTTTAACGTATCTACTCTGTATTCTAAGATTTTCTACTGTGTGCTCAAATAATCATGATAAAGTACAGATGTATGTGTATATCCATGACAGAATTAGCTTTAAGATTACTTTTGTCAATTTTGAATTTCAAATTTAGTTAGTATTATTGTATTGGCGGGGAAACAGTTATTGTTCACGAGCGTTTGGACGCACCTTGTGGTACAAGTAGCTGTTGTATGACCGCTCAGATGGAGGTACATTAAAATGTTTTCAAGCTCAAGATATATTTATATATTTTATGCACATGTGAAAAATATTAATAACTAGTGACAATAACGTTTCCCTGTGCAAACAAGATTATACTAGGATTGTGCATCACAATATAGTACCTAGTGTCACTGGAGTAATTAAAAATTGTTACCCGTGCTGACTTGAAGGGCCAAGTTGAGGAAAAAAAGTTTGAAATTCAAAATAACTAAAAGCGGAAAAGTTGTTAGTTCACAACGATGACTCAGCCATATGACATGTTTTAGGCAACTAATAAATCGTATTAATATCAAACTGTCCGTCTTAACATTTATATTATTATGAATAAGTATTTTATGACACAAAATAACCAATAGATGGATATCAGTAGGTATAGGTTAAACTTCCAAGTTTTATGGAAGCTGTCGCTGTGTTTATAACAGATATTTTGACATTCCCATTTCTAGTTTATATATATATATATTCTTCTTGATATTCTTAGTAGACTTGTGAAACATGTATGTATTGTATGTGTATATTTTGCATTTAACTATTATGGTATGACAATAAATTGTCCGATAAATTGGCCAGTATTCTTTGAGACTAGGATGTAGTAAGGACGTGCTTGGGACAAGCAAGCCTGCGTTATGGCAGCAGTTTTACTGCGAAGGCAACGAGCGGTGATGATGTTGACGAAAGTGTGACTTTATGTCGATGTACAGTTGTATTGTAGGTACGAAACACCGAAGCAGTGATAATTATGTATTCGTCCGGAAGAGATACAATCTCGTTTTGTAGGCTGCTACTGAAACGTTAGACTGCACGAATTGTGATGGATCCTTGTCTCAGTACACAGTGTACCTAATCGAATATAAAACGAAAAAGACTAAATCCAAACAAAAGTTTCGTAATTTGTCTTGTATATTGGCTTTGTAACGTTTTACAGTAATTGAAAACTTTTGGATAAATATTGAACAAATTTGCTCAATATATTTTACAACTTGTATAAGTCTTATCGAATTTATAACATTTGTATCGAATTTACGATTGAAATATTTAATCCTTCTATATGGTAGCGTGCTGACTATGTCGAAATATAAATGCTACAAAGCATTTACTGCGAATCTCGTGTATTTATATAAAAAATTGTGACACAATTTGATTACCATCTTGTTGCTAAATTGGCGTATTTGCTAGAATTGCAACAAGTGATGAAGGAGCTATTGTTTTGTGTTACCATTCAAACTATTTGACGTTCTATTGTTTCAATAGTTAAAATAAACTCGAGTAATATGTAAAAATATGAAAAATCAAACCGAAATTACTTCGATTCACAATAGCAATGCTACCTCTTAACCATATTTTGTACAACGAAGAAGATTTTTTGATTTATATAAATTGTCTTAAGCTCTCTAAGTTGTGATGATATTTATTTTTAAGTTTAATATCAGCTGATGTTAATTGTTTATACTTGTGTTAATGTCGATGTTTTTATTTATCTGTTACCACTTGCTTTATGATGATCAGGTGTGATTCAATCGTAAGCATTATGAGCTCGGAGATAAGTGGTTTGGCAGAAAGTAAATATTGGCATTGACATCAGTACTTGAAAGTGTTGGTTGCTTAAAAACACGTATTTTTTCTTTAATTTATTTAATGGAAATTAAGTGTCAGTCGCCCAAAAACTTGCATTGCTTTATTTGCTATAATGAGAATATGAAAAGTAAATCTGACCGTTGAACTAATTCTTGTTACATATAGAGTAAGGGTTCCGTATCCAAATAGCAAAAATATGAGCCCAGTGCTCTGCTGTGTGTCACTAAAGTATATGTTATGATGTGTGTGAACATTTTGACACTTCATGTAATAATAATTTATATAAACATAATAAAACTTAATGTTTAAGTGGTGCTGCTATACTAGGCGCCTATAATTATTACCTTTTTATTGAAAAAGTGGTACGGAACGCTCCATGCGCGAATCCGATTTGCATTTGTCCGGTTTTTGATCTCCCACCATAATAAGTTGTAATAATCTATTTTATAATCATGTTCGTCTCGAATATTAGTATTTTGTTTAAAGCAAATAAGTTTTTGGGTCTCTTGCTGATTTTATATGAGCAGTACATTTTGTATGTATATATGGGTCGACATGACATTTGTGCTCTGTTTATACTCAAATACCTTTTTTATATTTTTATATTTAGCTTTACTAAGATAATAAATTATAATTTTGTAAGAATGTTGTTTAATTTCATATTTTTAATTTGGTAGTCTATTTTTTATTGTATTTTAGGCTCTCCTACTTTTATTCCTTTTCTTATTGGGTAAAATACGAGCAGTCTTTATTTTGGTGTTAATTCTATTCTGCCTTTTTTGTCTCACGTATAATACTGTGTAGGAATTTGTGCAATTTCTGTATATTCAACTGATCACATATTATATGTAGTATATTCGACAGGTGGATTACATAAAGATATGCTCCGTGTAGTAATCGAACTCGCGACACGTGTGGTACCCGTGCAGCTAATTGCATCCATGTGGTGCAGCTGCTGCTGTTGCACCTGCGACCCCACCTCCAGCCACGCGTCGAACAGTTCGGCTTCAGGGCCGAACACTCCACCACCCTGCAAGTCGCGAGGGTACTGCACGACCTGGCGGCCGCGCGTAACAAGCGTGAGCGCGCCGCGGCAGTATTCCTCGACATGGAGAGGGCCTTCGACCGCGTCTGGCATGCCGGCCTGCTCAGCAAGCTGGCCACATCTACTACTCCTCGACGACTAGTCAAGATCTTGGCCACCTTCCTGCACGGCAGAACCTTCCAAGTGGCAGTGGAAGGCGCCCTGTCGACCGAGCGGACCATCGGAGCCGGCGTGCCCCAGGGAAGCTGCATCTCTCCCGTGTGCTACTGCGTGTACACGGACGACATCCCCGTCGTGGACGGCGTCGAACTCGCCCTGTACGCCGACGACGCCGCCTACTACACGACGTCGCTGAATCCCAGGCACGCAGTAGTCAATCTACAGCGCGCCCTAGAAGCACTCCCTGAATGGCTGGAGAAGTGGAGACTGGCCGTGAACGTGGCCAAGACGCAAGCACTCGCCGTGGGGATCATGAAGCCGACACCCATGACGCTGATGGGAGAGCAGGTCCAGTGGGCGCCGAGCGTTAAATACCTCGGCGTCAAGATCGACCGCTCGCTCTCGATGACGCCCCACGTGCTGCAGGCTGCTGCTCAGGCGCGCGCCGCGCGTCACCTCCTGCGCCCGGTGCTCAACTCGGCGCTGCCGCTCCGTGCGAAGCTCGGCATCTACAAGGCCTACATTCGGACACGGCTCACCTACGCCGCCTGCTGCCCCATCTGTACACAAATAAATTAAAATAACAACCACAAAAAAAAATATTTTCATATTAAAAGTAAGTACCCAAATAAATTACAAGGAAATTTTATATTGTTTACAAAATTTAACCAAGATCTTAATAAAATTCGCATTAGAATATCAAAGTATACAATTATTTTAGTAGGTTACACAAAGATTAACAAACAAAGAAAATACTTGTTACTGACTACACGGCTAGTACAATGACTGGGCAACTAGCTGCCATGCAACGTGTCGCGGATTCGATTCCCGCACGGAACAATTCTTTGTGTGACCCATAAATTGTTGTTCCGGGTCTAGGTGTCATGTGCATGTGAGATTGTATGTTTGTAACCGCACCCACGACACAGGAGATAATCCTAGTGGACGGCAACACTTAAAAAAAAAACAAAGACTTGTCTACATATAATGAGAAGTAGGTACTCAGAGTGAAATCTAACCAACAAAGGGCAAAATAACGAACCATCTGCATCTCAGGAACAAAAATGTAGTGGTGCGCCGGCCGCACACCCCTTTATACCGAGTAGCTAACAACCCCGTCACTCCACCACACCTCTGACTACACAGGTTTGCCCGTAACACAAACACTTAATTTTAATTAATCTATACTAATATTATAAAGAGATGTTTGTATGTTTGTAAGTTTGTATGTAGGGGGTAATCTTTGGAATCACTGGTCGAATTGCCAAAATTCTTTCAATTATTGATAGCTACAATGTTCCCGAGTGCTATAGGCTATAAAACATTACGCTACACTCAAATGAAGCCAAGCAGCAAGTGAAATCGCGCGGGAGTAGCAAGTTTTAAAATAAAGCTGACGCAATATGTACATATAATAATTAATTATCAAGTATTTTAAATTTATTAACCACCATATTTTCGTAATTACATCACAATTATAATTATTAATTTGGGAACATCTCACACGCTCGTATCCGAATCCAAGAAACGCCAACGAGCTAACGCCATATCACCGGCAGCTATACGACGTATATATAGGTATATGACGGCACGGTTGGCGCGGCGGCTGGGCAACTGGCTGCCGCGCGACGTGTCGCGGGTTCGATTCCCGCACGGAACAACTCTTTGTGTAATTCACAGATTGTTGTTCCGGGTCTGGGTGTGATGTGCAAGTGAAATTGTATGTTTGATAACGCACCCACGACACAGGAGAAAATCCTAATGTGGGGCAATGTTAATTAAAATAAACAAACAAAGCTATCCGTGGACACCCGCAACAACCGAGGAGTTAGAGTGGAAAAAAACAAACAAACCGAGGATTTCGAGACTGGGGAAGGGGAAGGATTAGGCTTCCGGTAACCTTACCGATACGGCGAAACAACGCTGTGGTTGTTTCACGCCGATTTTCTATGAGGGCGTGGTATCATTCCGATGACGCCGACCCATTCGTGGCGAAGCTTGGCTCTCCCACACTTATGTTTCAAACTTCTTATGTTAACTGTCTTTCATGCAGACAAGATTGAAACTGATATCAATAATAATGTTCTAATCATAGACGATCACTGAGAAAATACCCATTGCGAGATCTTATCCCCACTACGATAAAATCTTCTTTTAGTTCGTGCATATAACATTTGAACATGTCTATGGCACGATAATTGAAAATAATGAGCATAAAGTATCCGAATTTAAACTAAAAAAAACCTTCTTATATTTTTTTAAAACAACTATAACAACAACAACAACAACAATAGGTATATTTTCAACATCAAAATTCGTGCAACCAAGCCGAACACAAGTTCCACATGACAGCACAATAAGACAATAACACAGATTTAGGTTTCATTTATTAAGAAGTAATTTATTATTTATTTATTTATTTAGTATTATATAAAGGATATATGATCGGTTTTAAGGTATATACAATATATTCAAGTTTGGGAGGGCCATGCTTCGGTACGATTGGATCGGCAGAAAACCAACATGAAACAACCACAGCGTTGTGTTTCGCCGTGTGAGTGAGGTTACCGGAGGCCCGATTCCCCAATTCCTAAATCTCCCAATTCCTAATCCCCAAAAGGTCGGCAACGCACTCGTAACTCCTTTGTTGTTGCGGGTGTCCATGGGCGGCGCTGACTGCTTACCATCAGGAAATCCGTCAACTCGTTAGCCGATCAATCACAAATAAAAAATGCACTATGTCTACATATAATATATGCGTCATTGTTACCTAAATATAAAAGATTAAATAAAATAGAATTTAAATTATAGTTTTATTAAAAATGCAGTTAAACTCTTGACCAATACATGTATGATCTAATCCTGGGGTACTCTAAAAGACCTTCCGTGGGACCAACAGCAGCAACCACCGGGCACTTGTCGAACAGGTACTGGTAGCATGCCCGACGCACGTGATCCACTGTGATGCTGTCCACAGCCTGCATCTTCTGCAGCAATGACGGCCGGCATCCGTAATACAACGTACAACGCCCGATGTCCATACACGTGCCCAATGAACTCTCAGTCTCTGACAAAATCTTTGTCTTTAAAAAATTTTTAGCCCTCTCCACCTCAGGCTCTGTCACACACATGGCCAAATACATGAACTCCTCTTGTATTGACATCATTATGTCATCTTGATTCATTGTATCAGCCACGAAGTGCACTCCAAACAGACCGCAATCTTTGTAACTCAGATTGAACGCTTGGTATGAGTCGCACAAGTTGCCCTGGGAAATAGTACGCGCGAGCCGTGCAGGGTGGTTGACGCCACCGGGCTGGGAGCGGTCCCACCCACCCATTATGAACCTCGCTACTTCCATGGTGAGTCTGTCGTCATCACTGAAACTAGGGCCCTCTACAGCTATCACCACGTGGGCCGTTGGCATTGAGTCATCACGAAAGCGAACGTCAGAGCCCGTGTATCGGTAAGCATCCATATCTATACATTTCAATGGTTCTAAATCGCAAAGGTAGGAAGCGGCGAGAGATACTATCTGTTCGTGTTTAATGCCACCGACGGCTGCGAGAACCGTCCTGCACGGATCGAAGCATTTGGACAAGTACCGACATACAGTACAATCAGTAAAGTTGTGTAGGTTCGAACTGGGGCCCATAACGGTTTGGGCGAGAGGCGTACCTTGAAATGCACTTGCATGCAAATAATCAAACACCACTTTACCGGGGTCCTTATCATGGTCAATCATTTCAGAATACACAGTCTTCTTTTGGTGCTCTATCTCGCACTGGTCCAAACTGTTGTTGAATACACAATCGGTGAGTATGTCGGTTGCCAGAGGTGTATCTTGACTCAAACACTCTACGTAGTAAACGATTAGCTCACGAGTGGTGATGCATTTGTACTTGGCACCTAGACTTGCCATCTGTGCCTGGAGATCTAACTTGCTCCGTCCATTGGTTCCTTTAAAAGCTATGTGCTCAAAAAAATGAGCTATGCCATTCTCAACGTTGCTCTCGTATCTGGAGCCGGCGTCTATGAAGAGACCTATACACGCATTATACGACTCGCGCTGCTCTGACACTACAGTGAGGCCATTGCTCAGCGTAGTATACTGAGTAGTGGGGAGATTTTGTAAGTAATGAGTAAATGATGTTGGGTAGGCAGAATAACATCTGGATTTTACTGGGATCCATACTTTCTTTAAAATGTTATTCAATTTGAGCATCCTTGAAATAAGTATAATACTTATAAAAACTTGTGTCTTGGTCTTGTCATTTACACTGATGTCAATACTTCAAAGAGTATACAAGTATAGATACTTATTTCGACTATAATAAACTCTTTGATGTCATTATACAATGAGCGCTCCATGGACTTTTTTGCAAATTTTTTTTGAAACATTTGAAAAAAAGAGAGGCACTTGGTAAATTCGAGCTCAAAACATAATATATACTATCTTTTCCCGAAACTTCTTCCGCGTTTGCTGCCAGTTTTTAATTCTGGATGATTGATTCAATATATCTTACATAGCAAAATCTTATCGTCGTCACCCTATTAAAACGTGCAGTATCCCTTAAAGGTAATCCAGCAAGGTGGTTCTCCGCCTCCCCGGAGGTTGTGTGTGGGATATTCACGGATTATGCATATAGCCTAATTGGGCAACTACACAAAGTCAACCTCCCAGCATCGTTTGATCCCCATCAATAAGTAGGAGCTGTTTAAGTGCAGCAACTGTCTGTTTCAACTTAAGAGGTAATGTCGCAAGTGCTCTGCGAAATTCGACCGGCTGCGTGTACGAGACCCAGGTACTTCAACGTCGACTCTACGCCGATGGTATCCCTTTCTCGTGACCCATCAGTTATCAGTACCAAACCCAGGAGTTAATAGAATAAACTATGAAATAAAATTATGAAAAATATTTATTCAGTATTTGATCGCTTGCAGCATGTCATTTTCTAGCTCAGATCAATTATCTAATTTAGACCACAATCATTTCGTTGTTGTAATGGTCATATAAATGCACTATTATATCATTTTAAAGAAATAAATCATGTTTCATTGTATGAATAATTTTTCGATTTCATTGCTGTACTCAAATATTGGTTCGTGCCCATGCTCCTCTGCTAGCTGGTACTGCGCTCGGCGTAGGAGCAATCTTAGCTGACACTATAATTCAAACCCTTTAATCAATTTCGACAAAAAAAGTCGATAGTTTTTCACTCTTTTTTCAAGACCAATGAGGTACCGGGTAATGTTGTAAAACTGTTGGTACCCGGGTGGAAAACGACTATGATTATTTTGTTTCGCATTGACGGTGTCAAAGAGCTGTGCATACGACCTGATCGTCAGCCGCTGGTTGCCTATCACTTTTTGTATCCAACTCAGATGAGGACTCAGTGGCGTATAATACCGGATGGAGTTGTGAGTTTGACCTCCGACAAGGATGGCAGCTACCTTGCCATCGAAAAAAAGCGGGCCGCCGAGATCGCCGGGCAAAGATTGTTGCCACTTAGCCGAACACTTTGGAGCTACGCAAACAAGTTGTGTAGTTATAACCTTATTCTCACATTTGCTTGCAATACCGGATCCTATCTGCAATAGTCGCGTCTGGTCATCTCGGAACACCTTTGCCTTGTCTTTTGTTAAGTCTTTCTGAGTAAATCCATAGCCAGCGTACTCGACGGCGTGTCCTTGTATCACCTTGTAGTCAACTGCTGACACATGGCCGTATACCGTTAAGGGAACCAGATCAATATAGATCAACCCCAGGTCGGGGATCATCGCAGAAGCTGCTGTTGGTTGTTCTATGTGTAGAATTTTTCTCTTGGATTTTGTTTCGTTAAACGGTGTTTCCATGTTACCAAACTGTACGTACTTGGAGATAGAGAGACAGCGTGCGGCCGTCAGCACCCAGTTGGGATCTATGAGTGTGCCCGTGCAGCGTCGATAGTCGTTGTACAATGCCACTACATAGGGGTATTTCCCCTTTATATCGGCAAAGCCACCGAGTATGCGACGAGTTTCAGTTTTGGTGTGGTAATGTGCCGGCATCGTCGCCAACACCAGCAGCGTAGGAACGATCATGACACATGTGATCGACAAACAACTTTTATTAAATATTGTATTAAGATTTATAGTGAACTTGCCTTGAATATATTATCGTTGCTCGTAAAAATTTTAGGTGCCTGTAAAATGCAATAAAACCACTCGAAACTAACGATAACACGTCAGTCTGTACCAATATGCAGAACAGTGTAAGGCTGTAGCTGATTTTATAATATTATAGATATCATTTGTCTTTGCTCAATCCTTTTTTTTTGTGAGGAGGAAATCATCAAATTACTTCTCCCACCCAGAGCCGGGCGGGAGGGAGTGTCAGACTACAGTAAGCGTGACACTCCTAGGCCGAGGTCGCGGTGCCTCATTGCGCTTACCCCGCAACCCCGGCTGATCTTTGCACAATCCTGGAATAACACATCAATTTGACACAATTCGAAATTCGATGCACGAACTAATTCAGCTGTTCTGATTGTGATTAGCCAACCAACAGCTCAGCTTTCTTCTTTAGCCCCTTCAAGTGTCGGGTTCACAACGTCCACAGTTTCTCTTTTATTTTGTAAAACACTTATCCAATCGACAAGCGTGCACATTGATCACATGAAATCTTATAGGAATGGCTAGAGGACGCCATGGTGCTTACTGGACACGGAAGCTTCATTAGCCTGCTTCGGATCCGGAGGGAGAAGACTGCCGCCTTTTAGCCGAAGGTTTTAGTCAGTAAGAGTCTGACACTCTCTCTCGCCTTAACCTGGGCCTAAGTCATTAGATGATTTACACCTGACAAAAAAAAGGAGGTGAGGGCATGACCACCGTGTCCCACTGGATGTGCCGTTGGTGAGCGAAAATATGTATCGCAGGAGTAGGTGCTATCTTCCAGGTTTTGCGAATCAGTCTTCATTTTTCATAACATTACTCGTATACAACTAAACTTACATTTAGTCCGTTCCTGATCTCTAAAAGTCGTACTGGAACTTGATGGGCTTGAAACCTGCACCTTCATGTTCCTATTACATGCGAAACATTTCGTATATTGTAGTGGACACCAACGTCCACGTCCATACGAAATGTTTGAATGATGTCACTTTCTTACTACTAAAGTTCTCGATTCATTACTACACTACTACACACACTACACCATTGGTATTTATTTTTAAAGGTTGTTGTGTACCTTGTATGGATATACATATACATAGTTCCATTATATTATGTCATATTTTCATTAGTTTACAAATCTGATGTGATATGGTTATGACCCAAGTATGCTATAAAGAGGCCTCAACAAGTAAGTATGTAGTCTATGGCCATTAATGTGACAGAATGAAAATATAATAAGTAGTTTCAGTTGGCAATTCTAGTATTTTTTTATAATAATGTGGAAATCGTTATTAAAGTCTCTCTCTGGTCTCCCAAAGAATTGTAAGAGACAATATTGTTGGAAACCTGTGGAACCTATGGACCCTGGCACACAAGTCGCCATTTTTCATAATGGTGTAAAGGTTGCCACGGAGGAAGTGGAATCACCTCTGGCGTGCGTAACGTTGTCAGTAGCTGCGGGTTCTAGGTATGAGACAAGACGTACTAATGGTCTGACGCACTTTATTGAGCATATGGCATTTAAGGGATTGCTTACGATGGGCAAAGATAGGTTTGAAGAAGACGTTGCACAAATGGGAGCAAAGATGTCAGTGCAGACTACAAGGGAAATGCAGGTATTCTCAGTAGTGGTGCCGTCTGAGATGTCGACTGCCGCTATAGACAAATTGTACAGGATCATCTGCGAATTAGACCTAAACGATCATGAGGTATGTCAGGAGAAGAATCGGATCTGTTTCGAGCTAAATGATAATGATACTAATCCAAAACAGCTGGTGTTTGACTATCTGCATGCAACTGCGTTCCAGGGCACGCCGCTAGCTCAGCCTGTTATGGGTACGTCTGAAAATTTGGATAAATTTGATGAGGTAATGATAAATAACTTCATGTGTGAGCAATACCAACCTTACAGAATCGTGTTGGCTACTTCGGGACGAGTATGCCACGATAAAATAATTCAGTTTGCAGAGCCACGGTTTGGAGGCATACCGCCACAGCCATGCCGTGAGCCGGAGCCAGGACCAAATAGGTACACGGGGTCGCAAGTAGTATATCGTGACGATTCTATGCCTTTCTGTTATGCAGCAATCGCATTCGAAGCGCCAGGCTACTTTAGCCCGCAATACCTCAGTATGCTGTTGCTGACACAAATAGTAGGTTCGTGGGACAGGAGCCAGAGCCGTGGCGAAAACCACGCGGCGCTAGTTGCGCGCGCGGCCTCATGCGCCAACCTGTGCGAGAGGTATGACACATTCTACATCCCATACCGAGACATTGGCCTGTGGGGCATCTACTTTGTCGCTGACAAGTGGAAGTTGGATGAAGTGGTGTCTTATATTCAGGACCAATGGCTGCAGTTGTGTACTATGGCACGAAGTACCGATCTCGAAAGAGGTTTAAATGCCCTGCGGTTAATGTTGGCACGGCAGTATGGGAGTGTCGTGAGCTCGTCACATGATATAGGGAAGCAGATGCTGTACACTAACGGCCGCAAGTCCATCGACCACCTGCTTCAGAACTTAAATCAGATCAAAGTGAGCAATATTCGCAACTTGGCAACGCAAATCATGTATGATAAGTGCCCGGTAGTGGCCGTCGTTGGACCGTCAGAGACGATGCCCGACTACAACAGAATTAGAGCTGGCCAGTGGTGGCTCAGAGTTTAATATTTTTTCATATTATTGTAACTGGTTTTTTTGCAGTCTTATTTTAGTAATCATTTCATTATTGAACACAAATGCGTTCAATTATAAGTTTATTAAATTTTTCATAGAATTTAAGAGATTTGTTTGAATGTGATTACCTCTAAAACTTCGAATTATAAAAGAAAATCGTTTAGTCTCTGTCTTGTGTGCAAGGCAATATACCACCACACTACACAACAATTCCACGGTACGGTACATAATAGGTATTTACGTAGCAAATTGGATGTGCGGACATACATTATACTGTTATACAGTTACCTTTGGAATGATCTTTCGGCGGCGGTATTTCCGAACCGGTATTTTCAAACATTTAAGAAACGAGTGTACCTACTTCATGTGCAACGTGTCTGGTGGTGCGGTTTTCAAGGACGGCTCAGATGACTTACCATCAGGTTATACGTCTGGTATTTTGCCTCCTACTCCATAAAAAACCTATCAACGACCCGAGTAGAGCAAAATATGCAACCCGTAGTGTTTTTCTTACTTTTAGTGGGTAGAACCTTCTCAGAACTGTTTTGAGCTTTGTGTACACTGTGTCAACATGCGTCCGCCAGTTAGCGTTTCTATCTACCCACAGTCCAAGATATGGTTTCAACAAAAGTTTTAAAACAAAGTTTTAACAAATACCACAATTATTATTTGCGTGTAGGCACTCATAGGTGTGCCTGTATTTTTATGCCAGAACTATTTGTAAGTACTCTTTGCTACTCTGTTTTAAGGTGAGTGTTTGTGCATTATCCTAGTTTTGTCGACATTATTGTTTTAAGATACAAACATGTTTTTTCAATGTAGGTACCTATTTTATAATTCTTGTTCGCCAAATGTATGTGCAAAGGTGAAAAGTTTATAGACAGATCCTCACTGTTTGAGAAGAGAACTTCGAAATAAGGCAATTATGTAAGCTGCGTTGACCTATTCTAAAAGTTAGTAAAGTAGGTAGGTACAGTTTATTTGAACAAGTTCACTGTACCGTTAAACTCGTGGTAAATGCTGTTTCACTTATAATTGCTGGCTTTAAGCTGTTTGCGGACGTCCACAGTTACGCTGAAATTGTTAATGCACGTTCTAGCGCTGAATAACCCTTTCTGCTTGTAGCTCTTAGGAGCTCGAATTAAATTCATATTTGAGTTTTGCTATCAAAGTAACTAGCTTTTTACTGTTGTGAGATTAGCTGGTCTTGTTAATGTGCTACGTAGATTCGCATTCAATTAAGGTTACAATGAGTAATTTTACTTTTGATGTTGTACATAACGAGGATGGCACAGATTATTTTCTAATACGATTTGAAGATAAAAATCTTTAAGTAATATTAGATTTATTATTAAAAAAGAAATGGAAGTGCGGGAGTTTTTTGCTAATTAATTTACGCGACCACTCGCAAAATTAGTGTAGCTGAAGGTTAAGAAATTGCACCAGCTTTCTACTCAGATCATTTGCCTATGCCTAAGTTTTGTGCGTCACCATCCCACTCGCCTCTTAACACCAGTTCCCAGCTTCAAAATGCTTTTGCTTGAGTTACCTTGAAGAGTACGAATTTTAATAATACCTACCGTAAAATTAATAATTGAAGGTGAAATTATTGTTGTATTTTTATGATTTTGAATGAATTTCTACTTTATTGAAACCGGAGTTTATGGGTTTGAGTGCTCTGAAGTATAAAATAATGACGTCAGAAGCACTAAGCCAAAGTTAAAAGCTTCATAACTAGATTAAATTATTTGAGTCGGCTATGTCGGGCGGCTAACTCTGTCCTAACCTAAAACATTGTATGAATTTCGTTACAATAACTTCACTATTGGAATGATGAGAATTGACTCATTTTGTAACACTTGGCTTAGGCCCGACTGTAATCGTAGAAAGCTGTTTCACACTGTTATTTGAATGACGGTGGTCAATTTAGATAGACGGTGAAATCATTAATTGACTTATCTCGTGTATCGAGGTATCAGGAGTGTCCGAATATTTACTAAAAAGCACCCCGTTCCTTTACCTGCAACAGGCCGAGGCTGTACCTCATTTCACTTTCTCCGCAAACAGCCTATGCTAAGAGCTCAAAAAATAATATCTAAGTACTTAACTGTAATTGTTACAAATTAATTTTTTTACGGGATAAGCCGCCCATGGACACCCACAACACCAAAGGAGTCACAAGTGCGTTGCTGGCCTTTTGGGCATAAGGGTTGCGGATATTTATGGATTGGGAAGGGATCGGGGATCGGGGAGGGATTTGGCCTCCGGTAAGCACACTCACACGACGAAACACAACGTTGTGGTTGTTTCACAGCGGTTTTCTGTGAGGCCGTGGTATGACTCCGGTCGAGCCGACCCATTCGTGCCGAAGCATGGCTCTCCCACACTTATTAAGTATTGTTGTCGTTTATGTAGTACTCCTGACTGATTCGTGATACCGGGTTTTTCGGGATACTTCTAATGGTAGTTGATGAATTGCTACAAGAGACTTGACTAATGAATAATTATTTATATCATAAATATTATATATATTTACTTCTTTAAGTACTATCATCCAGTATAATCCTACTTTTGTGAAACTGAGGCAGAAAGCCTTAAAATAAATACTTATGAAGAGAAACACTAATCTGTCTGTGTGAACTTCGCAAGAAACACTTTTAAACTTGACAAGGGGTTCATCAGTGAAAATTGTAAGGAATCACGGTTCGAAGTTCATCGCTACTGTATAATGAAGTTTCGGTTTGCGAAAGTATAATGCGCTTGGGAACACCAAATCAGACTGCCGACAGCTAGCTACAACAACATCTTCAACTGGTTGAAAAGAGAAATACAAAGAAATGCCTCGGTTTGATATACATGTATATTAGATATCATGTATGTTTGTTTTTTATAGCCTAGAATGGAAAACAAGCTTACCTCATAACTAGCGATAGGTGCTGTACAATCACACCCGGGATTTCAGTCACCCTACCAAAAAATTATTCCGTTCCTTCTTCTGCACCGGGCCAGGGCCAGAGTACATTATTGCAGCCGCAACATCCACCGCGAAACCTACGTAACTTGTTTCATGACAGTTTGTCTATTGTATTGTCTGCTTACCATCATGGGGTGGGATCGCAGTCAAGCACTAGTTTATTGCAAATAAAAAAAAAAATCGTAATTAGCACCCGCATTCGTGCCAAAGCCTGGCTCTCCCCATAGATTACATTAAATGTTGATTGTTGTGTAATTGATTAATAAAAGCACAAGAGTAATGGATTCTTCTATGTTAAAATATAACTTTCTTAGTTACTGGTGATAATTTCCCGATAAAAGAATTATTAACTACTTTATGATGAAAAATCAAAGACAATGGCGTGATAGAACAAAGTGCAAAAGCGGTGAAGTTCAACACTGCTAAATATATCGTAGTTCTTTTACATGTTACTAGATGGCTCTTTTATACATTCGCGACACAAATTGTTTATGTTTTTTGTACCTCATCGTCAAATGGTCTTCATTTTAACTGTATGCTTAAAGTAGTATTGGTATATTCCACATTTCAATAATTTTCCTTAATCATTAAAAGAGACAGAATTACACGGGTCAAATTGGGTACTAACTAGTTTTGTTTTGTGTGAGATACTTCGAAACAAAATCTTTTGGTGAAAGTAAACGGCGGTAGTCGCCCGGCTTACTGCTGAGGAAGGTGGCAAACGAGCAAATGGAGGAGTTTTGGGGATAAGGGTTTTCGAGATTTAGAGATCGCGAAGGGGAAAGATTGGGCCTTCCGTAACCTCACTCACACGGCGAAACCCAACGCTATCGTGTTTCACGCCGGTCATTGAGGCCGTGGTATCACTCCGGTCGAGTCATCGACACATCAGCTATTTTGTTGTTGCGGTTGTTTGACAGCACCTCTCCCACACCCATGAAACAAACAACCCTTTCTCACGTTTGATTCATACGCCACACAAAATATCATTTTGTAATTAATTTTATGATATAAAATATATATATTTAATAACTTATTTTTTTGCGTGCAATGCTTTGAATTAAACTGCATACAAAACAATTCTAAGATTAAGACATATTATTTCACTTACTATCTCCAACAATAATCGTAGTAAAAAAGTATATAAGAGGCTATAAAAATATAAATAAGTAAGTATTGTAGCTTTATTGTGGCCGGGTACCAGGCTATAGGCCATATTTTACGTGTGTGTGCCGCAGGGCAGTGGTCGGAGATCTGATATAAAATGTGCGTTGATTACCCTTGATATACTGCCTACTCATGATCCCGAGTCGTAAAAGTCCAGGAGTATTACTGTTTTATTTGTGCGATACTTCGCTACACTTACCTATGTATGTAGTATACTTATACTATATAGTAACTCTGTGTAGGTTTCACGCAACTTGTGCTTATCGATCTGTTTGTCAGTTACTATAATACTTTTTCTTAGAAACTAAACTATTAACTAAGCTGTTTGTTTAATAAATTAGAATGTATCTGTGTACACGAGGGATAACCACTGAAGGAGAACAATTGCCATGTCGTGGCAACTTGTAATGGAAGCAAACATATAAAATAATAAACATTTTTTTTAAATAATAATATGTTTTATTAGTTGTCTTTAATCTAGATAGATATTTTCTAAAAAGTGTGGAAATGCCATGCTTGTTTGCAAATGCAGACCTTCGCTCTTATTGCGCTATATTTCGCCATGTGAGTAGAGCGGAGATCCAGTTAGTCCCCTATACTCAATCGGGTTTTTCACCAACTCGACACGAGGAACTGATCACACGTGTGTCCAGTTGGTGAAACTTTAAATTAGCACTAATTATTCTTTCGTCATTTGGACACGCCAAGGTTTTTATGTATGTTCACATAGTGAAAATTAAAATTAATTACTTTTATGTTATCGTCAACTGGACACACCTATTTTTTTTTTCTAAAAAAGGTACAGTTAAGTTAAAAATTGTTTCGTTTTTAAGACAAATTTTGAAATAAA